TAGTCATGAGCCACAACACTTTCTTTTACCTGAGATCAGCCTTCCACATCTCTGAAGGTTCAGCTGGAAAGCTCCTTCTTCGGAGAGACCTTTTCTGACCACTTTAACTAATACCAGGTCCCAGTTTCACTTTCCTTACAATGCATCACTTCCCATTACCGGAAAAGTCTATGCTGTGAACCCATGATGAACAGATGCAATAGAATACTGTCTATCTGCTCCTCCCCAAACAAAGACTATGTCTGACACAGTTACTGTTAGGTCCTATGCCAAACAGTTCCCAGCACATACAGATGACAATAATTAAATGTTGAATGAATGGCTGGCAACAGCCTTGCTTCAAATTTCTTTGTTTCTGAACAAACATTCAAAGCTTGAATGCCATGATGAACAGATGCAATAGAATACTGTCTATCTGCTCCTCCCCAAACAAAGACTATGTCTGACACAGTTACTGTTAGGTCCTATGCCAAACAGTTCCCAGCACATACAGATGACAATAATTAAATGTTGAATGAATGGCTGGCAACAGCCTTGCTTCAAATTTCTTTGTTTCTGAACAAACATTCAAAGCTTGAATGTTGAATGTATCTTATCTTTAAAATATCAAGGCTAGGATATAAGCATTCTGTCAACATAAAACAAAGAACAGAAGGAGAAAAAAAAAAAAAGAACCAATATTTATTTTACTCCCCAAACTAGAGAAGTTATTTTCTGAGCATAAGCTGCAACTGTGTAGAATTCTTAGGGATTTAAGTGTTTGGAAAGTTACTTCTTATTTTACATTATAGTTTCCTATTGATTTAAAGAACAAGAGGAGAGTAAATCTGCATCTATGTTGAAAGCACTTAGCTGATATTCTATACAAACACTGGTTTTGTAGTCATTCATTCATCAACATATACATAATTAAACACATTTTAAGCAATGTCATAAAAAGTAAAAAGGCAGGTGGGGCTGGAGAGATGGCTCAGCAGTTAAGAACACTGGTTGTTCTTTCAGACGACCTGGGTTCAAATCCCAGCACCCACATGGCAGCTAACAACTGTCTGTAACTCCAGTCCCAGGGGATCCGATGCCCTCTTCTGACCTTTGTGGCACTGCATGACAATGGGTGCACTTACCTACATGCAGGCAATATACACATACACATAAAATAAAAATAAATTTAAAAAAAAAGTAAAAAGGCAGGATGACCTCACTACTCATTTTCTGCCCAGGTTAGTTGAATACAGTGCTACAAGCATATAAATAGTAACCTGAGGGCATAGACAGGGCTGCTTAGTGAAGGGGTCAGGAAAAGGGTCCAAGCAGAACTGTAACATCTGGGAAGAATCTTGAGCTTAATGACTAAGAGAAAGGGAGCTCTAAGGAAGACTTCAAGGCAAACTGGCTTGAGTAGGTAGACAAACATTAGAACCACAAGAGCAAAGCTGAAGGGTGGCCAAAGAGATGAGTTGACAATGTGAGTGTCCTACACACTGCACTAAGGAGTTCTGATCTGTCCTCTATGGACCTTTTATTTTCAATTTGATAAAAATCTTTTTAAAAAGAAAAGTAAGTTTAACAAAAAGACACTCTGGATCATCTAGATGACCACTTTTACCTGAGTGCTGTCCCAGGATTTCAGATCACACATTTGTGTGCAGGAGTGCACTACTCACCAAACTGGACCACTCGTCATTAGTGCAGAGTAATAAGGAAGAAATGAAAACTAACATATGTAAAGGATGTTGGCCCAGTGAAAGGCAAATGAAGTCATGACACTGCTAACAAAGAGGGCTCTCTCTCTCTCTCTCTCTCTCTCTCTCTCTCTCTCTCTCTCTCTGTGTGTGTGTGTGTGTGTGTGTGTGTGTGTGTATTTTAGCTAAAGCTGGTGGCAGGGGGGCATAGAATAATCTCTGATACTAGGAAAATACGGACAGGTCTTAGAAGGTATGCCACGAGGTCAAGACAGACTGATTCACTTTCAGAATGTCTAAGGTCAAGCAAAACAGTATTAATGATCAAAATGAATATGTATTCATTTGAATTTATTAGCCTTATAGTTTTGCTTCATTTAACTTATAAATACCTGGGTTTTATAGTTGTACAAAGGATACAATATAAGGAGTTTATATGTAGTGTTTTATTGCACATCTTTAACATACTAAAAATATTTTAAATTAACAAAGGAAGATCCTGAGTTGGATTTTGGTTTGAGAAAATCTGTGGGTGACTGTGAACTTGCAACTTGCAAGTGACAGCTTTGTGCATTAGAAAAATCATTTTGCAAAAACTGTGGAGCGTTGGACCTGAAGGGATTCAAGAACAGACAGAATGGACAGTCAGAAGACTGTTTAAAAATATGATAAAAACAGTATGGCATTAAATTACTCAGATGAAATGAAGATTTGATGGATAATAGAATGAAAAGGACTTGACTGTGGGGGAGGCAGAGACAGTCTAATGATACTACCTTAGGTATCTCAGCAGTAAGATACATACCACAGGAAGGGAACATTCCAGAACGCTTGGTTTTAGGAGTGAAGGAGTGGGGCTGTACAAGCTGTCCATACTTGTGTACTTCTTGCTACCACAACAGCCCCAGCCTGCTCACTGACTGTAGACAATGGTGAAAGAAACCACTCACTGTGAGGTTGTATGGGTCAAACTCAATGCCACTCAGGAAGAACTGAAAAACATTTATAGGAAACTAGCCTTGAAGTCCCCCCTTGAAGGAATCCAAATGAAGAACAAAAGTTTAAACAGTTTTTTTCAAGTTTACAGAGTTCTCAAAGGAGAACAAGCAGTTCAGGAGGGTGGAGAAAGTGGCAATTTTGGCTCCCACATGGATTTCTTTGATGTACTTTTTTGGTGGTAGGAGGGTACAAAGAGAAAAGAGGGGCAAAAGTATAGTGCCTCAGCTCTCAGTAACCTTAGTTGATTTATATGATGGTCCAGTAAGAGAACCGGCTCAGCAAAAGAACATGGTTTGTGATCCTTCAAGGAAGGATGAGGTGGTAAGAAAGGAGCAGTAGAGTGCTGTCCCACCTGCTGAGGTACTGGGATGCAAATACAAATTCAGTGGATAGGATGGTAACATTTCAACAAATTAGTCAGTGTGCATGGAGTACCAGGGTGATGGGGAATGGACCAGTCCTAAAGCCAGATGTAAAGCTGTAATGGAAGGAAGATAGTTCAAGAGAAGAAGATTCTAGAAATTCCTATTGCCAGACATGAAAGATGTCTAGAAGACAGCATTCCACAATGAAGGAGAACAAGAATCAGGACTGCAGCCAGGAGATATTACCATTATGTTAGATCAGAAAGACTTCCTTACTCTTACCAAAAGCCCTTTCCTTGTGTTTGGACACACAGCTGGCCAAAGTATTGTATGCCTTCTAATACAGAACCCTTGACAACCGAAGCACAGTTACCACCTCTCATCCCCAGGTCACATGGCCAACCCTGGTGCTATTTATATCACATGGGTGCTAAATGAAGGCATGCCAATAACATATCATCGGCCTTGTGAAAAGAGACAATTATGGAGTTTAACTTACACTTTCCTGAAAATCTTTGTTGGAAAAACACCTTTGTGAGTGGAGATAAACGAGACTGATGAAATGGATCTGGTAGAACTGGTAGACTTTAACCCATATCAGGAAAGAGAGCACCAGTGTAATGGAGCAGCACATGAGGTGATGCCCATTGTCCCTGAAGGGGTAGTCAGTGTCCAGCCTCTTCACAGGCCAGCAAATGACTCACTGCCCGCACTTTATATGCAGGAGTGCACAAGGAAGGGCTGGAATCATAATATGCCTGCTACAGGCTACTGTTTTTAATATTCAATTACAGTAGTGTATTAAAAGTTAAATGAAAAATGAACACAAATATAAAAGCTCATGGTGGGGGGGGATGATGGTGTGGGGGAGACCAAAGAGAAAAGAGTGGGCAGAGGGAAGAAAAGAGAGACACGATGAGTTCAATTGAGCAATGATTTGCATTTCATTTCAGCTAAAGAAAATTCAGCTATGTTTTTCTGGGTTCCAGTTTTCTCAGTGACAGCTGCATTCATGAATTACCAAATTAACTATTGTAGTGCTTTCTAAATATACACAAAGCACTCTGCCCTATGCTAAAAGCAAGCCATGAAAAATCAACAGAAGCCAGGGCCGGAAGGAAATGCATCATCAAGGGTAAAAAGAGATACAGGCTTTAAAAA